TATATATATATAAAACTAATATAATAAAAAACTAATTTTTAAATTTCCGAAATTTTTTAAAATATTTCTTAAACATGGACAACGAAAACTCCTAAAAAAAATAAAGTATGGATATTTTAATGAAAAACAAGGAAAAAAAGCCCTTTATATTGGATCATGATATTTTCAGTTACATCAAAAACATCAAGCAGCAATTTCTTAAAATTTAATTTTTTTTAAGCCGCAGTAGAAGATTTGAAAGTTTGGTTTGTATGAAATGAAGTAACAGCTCAAAAAAATTCAATACATACATACATACAGCTTTTTATGAAAGATTTAAAAATGATTCCCTGACACCTTAAAAAAAATAAAACTATAGAATATCAAATAAAAGAAAGATTCGAAGAGAAGTTAATAAGAGTTTTTCTTTATGAGATATAGTTTTTACGAAAATATGATTTTAAAAATTATTTTTTATGTCTTCAACCAATTATGAATTTTTTATGGATCATCGAAAGCTCCGTTTTTAAAACATTATTAAAGTCTGAAAATCCAGTTATCAAGAGTAGTAAAAAGAATTCAATTCAAGAAATATGAAAGACTTAGCAATAAAAGTGTTGCCAAAGAAACTGAAGACGATGAAAAGTTTTCTTTTTTCTTCTTCCACGTATGTTCGTTATATATGAAACTTTTGTTAAAACTATTACTCATTCTTTAAACTGAAATAAAAGCTACATTTTTCAAATTTAGTTCCTCTTCAAATGCTGAACTACTTAATTACTTCTCTGAAAATTTAAAAATTTATGTTTTACGTCTGTATTCTTGAATTAATGAATCCAAAAATCAATTCTCTCATTTGCCATTTTTGAAAAAGTGATAAATTTCTTAAAAATAAAGAAAAAAAGTGTAAGAACGGAACGTTTTAATTTAGTGGAAGGTAAAATCGAAATAAGGCTTTGTTTAAGTATTTTAAAGTTAACTATAATATTATTTCTGAAATGAATAATTTGCAAAGAAATATTTTGTTTCATCACTCTCCGCTCTTAAAAATTTCTCGGTAAAAATGATTAAATAGTAATTTATTTAATCGTATTTATTTTAACAATATTTATTTAACCATATTCAACCAAAATAATCAAATACCAATAAAAAAGATGATATTCAAACTGTTAAGCACGAGAAAGATTTTATTGTTTGCTTTTACCTGTCGTTGTCGTCGACCATTAGAGCTGACGGTGTGCTATTTTTCTCATTTTCCAGTGGAGCCATTTATGGCCAAGAACTCGACTTCTACTACACCCATATGTCACACCCATTTGTAGGGAGGTTCCATTTATATATGTGCATTCATTCATCCACAGACCGTAATTTTGACACGAAAGATCAATCTCCAATTCAGTACCCCCAGAGGTTTAATTTAGTATGGGAACATGGAGGACTTTGTGACCCGATAGATTAAATGTGCATGAGTCACCATTTACTACAAAGGGGTCTTCTCCGGTTCTCACGAACGTGAGTCCAGCGTCCTGCCAACCAGGCTGTCCTGCCCCTTGTTTTTACCTGATACGGTTTAACAACCAAAACTCTATCCGCGCCAACCCAATAAAGCGATTTTGTTCAGTACAGCAGAATACATATTTTATCTGAGAGGGCTAATCAGTCTATCTCATGACCGGCTAAGCATATGTTCGAATCAAAGTGTTGATATCACAATATTTCTTCCATTCCTTCTATACATAATGAGTTTCTGGTATCCTATATTCTTCAATCGGCGATCCTAGACTAATAGAATACGAAACTATCATTCACGCGTAAATAGCGCCGCAAACCACAGAGACCCTATTTCAGTTTAAGTTCTATTTTTATGGTTGAGATATTATGCTAGTTGTAAATGGCTTTTAGGCTAACAGTGTTTTTTTCGGGGATTTCCTCTCTATGTAACGCAAATGCTGGTCAGTTTTATCAAAACGTCCGCCATGAAGTCAAATTTCTCCCAATGTTTGATCCAGGAGTTTCATTGTCTTCTGGATTGGTTTCAAAATTACAAGGCTGCGGAGTTGAACGTATATCGGACACGTATATCGCACGTACATGGTGGGTCTTAGTGGAGTCGAGGATCGAACACCGGTCTCTCCTGATCGGAGTTCGATTTTTTCAACCACTGGTCTACCGCGGCTATATTAGTTGCAGATTTCAAACTCCTAAATTTATTAATAAACAATGCTAATGCGAATTAAGCGATTTTTTTTCTTTGCATAAAAATCTTTATCTAACTTTTTCAAAAATAAATAAAAGGTCCCCTTTAACCAGGCCCTTTAAAGGTCACCTTTATTTCAGGCCCTCATGAAAATGGACCCTTTCGCTGTAAGAATTATTTTTAAATCTTTCATTTGTTAAGTT